CCCCTGGGACATAGGCTCAATTCCCACATCCACTGACAGGGGGAGGGGGAAGTGGTGGCTTTGGGGGCAGGTCCCTTGGTCCTGTTAAGAGCAGAATGTAAACATGTTAATAGGATATGGGCACAGGACTGGTGTAGGGAATGTTGCACAGGAATGTAGCAAGTATGCAAAGCAAGAAGTTTATGCAACAGTGTAAGGAGCCCCTTACACACAAAAGGAAGAGTGGCCGGGTTACTGGGGGCTTAGGGCATAACTATCTGTACCTTGCCTCCAGAAGGTCACATATCTTGCACCTGCCACTCACATTCCCATTCCAGTACCTACACTTGTGCTGTCCTGCTGGATCTTATTTCCTGCACTCATACCTACTCTGCACCTATGGCATTTCCTTATAACCCTATTTCTCACACTTGCATGGTGGAGCTGAGAGACCTGATTGCCTGTGATGTTTCAAATCTGCTACTTTGTCCCAGTGTTCAGTCGCAGGTGTGACAGGAACCCAGCAGTCCCATGGCAGTCCTCTCCCAGGAAACCCAAAGTCCTAGTCAACCCCCTACACCCACCTCACTCTACCACTATAGAGGGAAGGAGACTTACCATCTGAAGCAAGAACATCCCAGCTTGGCCACCAGTAGAGCTCCTTGTTCTGGAAAGGACTTTCCTCTTCTTTCCCTTCCGTCACATGATTCTCACACATCAGGTACCCAGAGAGCTTACTGCTAGGAATGGGTCAAACTGGCCCTTCTTGGAAATCTGACATGGGAGACTTCCAGGAGCCAGTCTTTCTCCTCAAATTTCAGTTTGTTCATGTGAGAATGATATAAACCCATAAAAAATTGCTGAACTGTTGACAAAAGGTTTACCTCTGTGGTCCCAGTTTTAGTCATATATGACATAACATTTCAGCCAATGAAGGTCAGTTTACAAGTTGTTGGTCCCATCAGACTAGATCACCTAGTGATGTAGCCATCTTATGTAGGTACATACTCTGATGATTGCATATGGATGAAACCATCTCAGGATGCATTTGTCAGAAAACATTCCATCATAGAGCAATACCATAAGTGTAGGCCTGTAAACAAGCAACATTTTGTTCCAGGAAAATCCTCTATATAAATGACTCTTACTTAGATGCCTTAAAATTAAAATTATCTATTGTACTCCAAAAAGAAACTGAGGTAGAAAAGCTGCCTAAAATTTTACAGCCTGCTGCCTAAAGCTAGGAGTGTCAGTGATTGCTTGCCTAGCTTAGCTTGTACCAGGCCCTGGTTTTAATCACCAGAATGGCAAGAACAAACAAGACCTAGAGCCTTAGTCTGCTAATCCCACCAACAACATGAGGCCACCAAACCAGAACAAATTCAAGTGAACTTGCTCTTTCTCATCTCAGATATGTACCACTCTATGGTGAACATGTCAATCCTGTGTTAACTTCATAGGATCAATGCCCCTGCTATAACCCTGCCCCTAATAACCTCCCTCATGTCCTGCCCTGGGTCTCTGGGTCTCTTTTGATAATCTACACATTTGGACAATACAAAGTCATGAAACAAATTACATCATGAAACTCAGTTATAACAACTAAATTTTCCTAAAATAGAAGCAATAATAGAATCTGTCATTTTCTTTAATCCGGAAAGCCCATGATTAAGGCAATGCCACCATGTTCAGAGGTGAATGTTCATGAAGGTTCTGACTTTACCAGTTGGTTAATCTATTAGATGGCTTAATAATTTGAACAGATTACAGGAAGGTGGTGAAGAGTATAGTCATGAATGGAGGAAGAAGGTCATTATGGGTTTTCCCTTGAGGATAGGATTTATCTTTGGCCCCTTCCTCCTCTACCCTGCTTCCCTGATGCCAAGAGCTGAGCAACTTTCCCTGACCATACTTTCTTCTGCCATGATATTTTGCCTTATTTAGGTCTCAGATCAATGGTGCTAACTGACTATGGACTGAGTCCTCTGAAACCATGAACCAAAATGAACTCTTCTTTCTCCAAGTTGCTCTTGTTCAGGACTTTTGATCACAGCCATGAAAAGTTAACATAGCATCTTTTATATTTTTTTCATGTGAGGTTATTCTTTTTTATTTTTTTTATTTTTCATTGTCAGTGGATCTTTATTTTATTGATTAATATGTGGTGCTGAGAATCGTACCAGTGCCTCACACATGATAGGCCAGCACTCTGCCACTGAGCCACAACCCCAGCCTTGAACTTAGTTTTAAAAAATATTTAGCAAATAGATAAAACCTCAATCATATAACCAAAAATATATAATAATAAAATTATTAGCTACACCACCAGAAATATACCACTTGCCTGAATCTCTGCTCCTCACAATTAATATCCCGGAGGCTTTAACCTATAGGAACTTGATGACAAGTACCAATACAAAATTATTTTAATTTTTTAAAAATATATAACTGAAATTGTTAATTTTAAGATAAAGACACTTGCCTTATTTCTATGAAATCTTTATTCTGAAAATAGAAATGTGCCTCCCAGTAAGGAAATGCCTATCCAGTGGCAAAAAACATTAACATGAACCTATAACAAATGTATTCCTTAAGTACATCTTATATTCATTTTTCTTAGAAAACCTATATTCAACCATTTGAGTTAATAGTAAATGGAAATTAAAGTTGATCATTCCCTTCCATAGAAAGAAAAAAGAGAAAACTCAACTATTACTAACAGTTAAGCATAAAAACCAAAGTTCCTGAGCACTATAACCATATGGAATATAACTATTTTACTTCATTTGGCAAATGTTGCTGGTACTTAACCATGTGCCAGACATTACAAATAACTTCTACTGAATATCCATCTCAGTCCTAATGTGGGTCCATTATTTCTATCATTTTTGAAAACACACAAATTACCAAAATTCTTATAACTCCCAGGTCAATATTATGTGGTCAGTGCTCACAGGTCAAATCCAAACTCCAAAGCAAGACAGACTACTAAGAGACACACCAAGGGGTCTGTCACAAGAAAGAGGATTCACCTTGTTGCATCTGTGTGGGCCAGGCCACCTAATACCACTTCCCTTCCAATTCCTTCTTCCAGAAGCTCCTCACCCCCAACCACAAACCCCTGTGTGCGTTTTCATCTGCACTCACCCTAGGACTTTGTCCAGTGGGTTCTTCCCCTGAGTACTCACAGTTTATAGAGACCAACAAGGGCACTGGCTGTAGTGGAGGAGGTGAAGGAAGGAGGTGTGAAAACAGTCCAGTTTCACTTGAAAGGTCAAAGCTGAAGGACAAATGGAAGAGCTCATGAATTCCAGGCCTGGGAAGAACCTCAGTGTCCACTGTACTATCCCACTGCTTCCTCTCAACCCTCCGCTCAGCCTCTTTGCAACTTACTGCACTTACAAATAACTTCTACTGAATATAACTCTGAGGTTATATTCAGTAGAAGTTATTAATTTATTTCCTGTTGCCCATCTCTCCCCCACTAGAGCATATACCCGGGTAAGGGCAGCATTTTGCTTGGTAAGAAAACTACTGAAGCAAGGGCCCTGCAGTCTAGACTAAAAAGGATCATGTTATGATTTGGACATAAGTGTCCTGAAAAACTGTTAATGCAGAACTATTCAAAGGTGAGATGATTAGACTTAGAGCTGTGACCTAAATCGGTTCATCTTATTTTGAATAGAGTAATTGGGTGGGAGTCATAAGCAGGTGGGGTATGATTGAAGGAACTGGGTCACTGGGTACCTATCCTTAAAGGGTCCATATT